ATATGCGTTTCACCGATCGAGGTTATTCTCAATGTAGAAAAATTAAAAAATAAAAATAATAATGTTACAATAATTGTCGGATTCGCATATTAAATAACAATGATCTATACATTATATAGTAAGATTAAAAAATGTAGATACATATCGAATATGTTCCCTCCTATGTTCCCTCTTTGTTAAGGCGTGAGCTAAGTGATAAATTACTACTTCGACTGCTAGGTAGGATATGACATACTCGAATTTGTTTGACAGATTTTTTTGTACTAATTTTAAGTAATAATCTATCTAAGTACTATCTAAAAGTTCAGACAATGGATCTCCCACTAAATAAAAACTACAAATAAAATATTCAGAATTATATAAGAAAATTATATTTATTAAAATTTTAATCAAGTTAGTAACAATTTTAAATGTTAAAAAGATCAATATGTCTAGAAACATCTGTATCGATTTAAAATTAAAATAAGAAATAAAAAAATAATCTTCTTTCTTTTCAACAAATAAACTAAAAAAAGAAATAAATAATAAAATCTTAGCAGCTAATCTTCACAAAATTCTACGTTTGTAATGCAGTCTTTGCACTGAAATATGGCATGTTCCATGCACAATGATTTGTAGTGTACAGAAATATTTAGTTTTCTATCTTCTTCTTATTTCTTCCTGCACTTTTATCCTCAGCTGTATCAACGCAAACGATGCAAAGTAAGTAAAAATCATAAGTTAAAATCGGTCGGGCACCGACCGGATATACTCGATCTAGCTCATGGCGGGTTAAGAATCTGTGTGGTCCATTGAAATATTCAATATAAAACGATGAAAACTATCAATATGATTGGAACACTAATGGTTTTCACTTTTCTTCTTACAATAAGTAATTAATAACTATATATATATATGTACTTTCTTTGGTCACACTTATGAGTCAAAAATTAAGAGAAATGCAGTGGATATTATAATATTATAAGTCATAGTGTGGTGCAAGAACAGAGAGACGTACAATATCAGACAACGTTTTCTGAGATTACATTTTTTAATTTTATTATATAATGTACGGAACATTGTTATTTTAATATGTGAATCCGACAATTATTGTAACATTATTTTAATTTTTTAATTTTTCTAACATTAAGAATGACCCGATCGGCGTCGAAATGTATGTATTTCTTATATGTTTGGTTTTGAGTATTAAATGTTTGAGTATTAATGTTAACTAGCTCATAATCCTCCTTAATTTTTATATTTGATTTATTCGAATTGAACCATTCCATCAATTTATATTAATATATATATATATAAAACATTAAT